CTATGAATTTGTTGAGTCAGAGGATTTACCACCACCTAATTTACTACAAGTCTGTAATATATCTGTAATATGATTTAACTGAGTAAAAACTAAGTCCATTTTATTCCATAATTATCTTTGAGCCATTTCGAATAAAAACCTCCAGATCTTTAGGCATCTATTCATCCCACTCTTCCATCTCCCTTTTTATTAAAAACTGTACTGGAATATAAATGTTACCACACACACTCAGAGTGACTGATGTGGAGAGACTGGCTGCATATGCATTTGTACCATTTTGTTCATTAGTACAGAGACTACACTGTTACTCATGCTGGTACATCAGTGTCAGCGTGCGTGGGAAACTTGTCATCAGAAGAGTCAGCTTTTGTACTGATATTTATAGCTGTGATTTAGCCTAAGGTGTCCCCACAGAGTATCAGTCCTTTCTCCTGCTCAAGTATAGACCTGGGCTGTAAGAGTCTGATTCATGGCATTATTGAAGACTGCTGAGTGTCACTGTGGGTGGTGGGTTTCTTAAGACTTCGCCTGTGACTGAGTTTGATGGGCTGATTTAGTTGAAGACACAGATAGCACACGTTATTTCTTCTGTCTTTTAAATATACTAGGACCTCAGCTGTGAACTCCAGTCATTTGCACATAGGCCGAAATGAAAGACATGAGCAGAGGTGGTCCTGCTGGGGCAGACACAGAATCTCCCATTAAAGAAAAAAAGGCATATCCAGAAGAGACGAGCTGTTTAAGACAATGTTACTTCTGCTCTCTGCATTACTGCTGCTGGTTGTTCTTCAGTTGGACTAACATCATGCTGCGCACTATTAAGCCTTAGGGGTTTGTGAATATGCTTACCATTTTATATATTTAATGCATGTAATATTTGGAGTAAATGTAAAAAATAATTTCAACAACAGAAGCCTTGGTAACTAGACCAAAAGTTAAATCTTTAGAGGTACAGATGTTTACAGGTAGCAGTTTCGGTTTTCTCCTTACCGCAATTTTACAGTGCATTTACCACAGTGTCTGCGCCGGCGTTTCCTTATTTAGTAAAGTATCGATTAATCATTTCAAAGCCAGTTGACGTTGGTCTGCCATGCCTTAAATAGAAAACAGGAAGTCTGTCTTGAGTGTTTCCAAAGTGCTGCTGTCTGCCTGTAGAGGAGCTGCTGCTCTTATTAAAGCTGCACAGGTTTTAACGCATCGATCATTCACAAGGTTACATCCCATAGTTTTATCAGAAAAGATGTGACAGCTTAAAAAACTACACCTCTGTTCTTCAAAGTACGATTGCGATTACTGAAGCAAGGGGTCTCAATCTATGGTATGTGTACCACTGGTGGTACTTTGTGGTACTTAATTGAGTTAAAAAAAAGAGTTACACAGAATGTGCTATTAGATTGAATGTAAATTACAGTCAATATCGTTTATGAGTCAGTTTGTAATTTCTTGGTTCATTGAAATATAATGAATCTCCAGTGGTATTAGTCATAATTGTATTTTTGGAGTCAGTTCAAATATCATTACATGTCCGTCTGAATTCAGCTGCTGAAGAATTCATTAGCTTTCATTTATTTATAAAAAAGTTTTAAAAAAAAAGATATTCCCATGCCAGTCCTCCATCATTCTGTTATTGGGGGGGATTACCCGTCCCTCCATGACCCTGCCGTCCCTCTACTCTAGGTGTCACATTGATTTACAGGCTCACCAGAAACAGGGAGAGCAAAGTCAGGAGGAAGCTAATGGGGTGGAAATGCTGACGGAGCTGGAGGAATTTAGACGGGGGGGGATAGGGAGGTGTTTTTTTAATGTGTTGTACAAAGGGAAACAATAACCAAGCACATCCCTGTTGTTTTAATCTGTCTGCTGCGCTCTTGTCCCGATGATGCATTTTTAACTATCATCTGCAGCAGGTGTGTCTACTGATATCTTCTGACAATTTCAATGGAGAATGCAGCTGATAAATCACAGACTGAACTGTGTTTTCTCACTCTTTAGGAGGCAGACAGCTGGGAAATAATTGAAGGGCTGAAAATTGGTCAGAGCAACGTCCAGAGGCCTGACAAACACGAGGGTTTTATGTTGAAGAAGCGGAAATGGCCACTGAAAGGCTGGCATAAGGTAGGATCCATGAGGAGAGGAAAAAAAAGCTCAATACAGATGCTCTGTCTATAAGATACTACTTTTTTATTCCTCTCTGTCT